TATAGCACATATTGTTACCTGTTTTCCTTACATAACGAAACATCAAAATGTTTTAGGGGTATCCATTAAGTCACTCAGACGTCAAACAAAAACAATCAATGCAGCAGTCATGTTGAATCAGGGTATAGGAATACGCAGAATAAGAGTAAATCCTTTTTAACATGTTGTTAATTTATGTTTTTAAATGTAATTTGCCGAGTCTATTATTTCGAATCGGGGTATAAAAATTTAATCACTTGATAACTTGGACTTAATGAACATTTGTTAGGCCTTGTTTTAAATAAGTACGATTAAGCGCATTAGTTGTGGTTTCAACATTATAAAATGATCTTTTTTTTTATTTATTTATGAACTTTTTTAAATTAACATTGATTTAATTTATAGATTTAATTATACTTTTTTAAATTAATATTGATTTAAATTAATATTGATTTAAATTATAGAGAACTTAATTCATTTTTAGATAAATGAATTAAGTTCTTTATAATAAACCAAAAGAAATGAGCTATGCAGTTGTCTGAGCCCTGCTTATTAACTTAAAGTTCAAACCTTTAAAAAAGTTGATTGTGGCTTGACAATGTACACTAAAATTTTGCAAAATATTGATCTGAAAAGGTTTTAAGAGTTTTTATAGAATTATTGCTAACAACTACATTTATTACTTTCCAATAATTATTACAAACAATTGCATTAAGAAAACATTTTATAATTAAATTTTGCAATTATCAATAGACATAAAGACACCACAAAATTATTATAAACTTTCATTAAATGGTAAATCTAAATCTGATTTCTATTATAAGTTTTATGTTATATTTCTTTTCCCGGAATTATAACATTACAAACAATCACATTCAATAAATTTGATAAAACTGACAATAGCAATTATAAAAATTACACTAGATACCTGTGCATTTATTTTTAACCAGAATATGGTTTGGAATACAATCACAACTATTTTCATAATACAATAAGTTATATTTACACTGTTTCAATCCAAGGCAGTTACTTTTACAACCTAAATTCATTAAAAAGAAAATAATTAAAAAGTCAAAAGTAAAAACTAGAACTAATAAATATTAGTTTACCATATTGAGACTAATGCAATCATGAAAACAACTAAAACTCATTAAAATAATAAAATAATTATTCATGTTAAATTACTGTTTCATAGGAAGACGTACAATTAAACCTCATGTATATATATATATATATATATATATATATATATATATATATATATATATATATATATATATATATATATATATATATATATATATATATATATATATATATATATATATATATATATATATATATGTATACATATATATATATATATATATATATATATATATATATATATATATTATATATATATATATATATATAATAATATATATATATAATATATATATATATATATATATATATATATATATACATATATATACAAAGTTGTGGTCAAATTGTCTAAATAAAGTATTAACTGCGTTCAATTGCTTGCCTTCCTGTGAAACACTGATACAAAATATAAAACAAGTTAAATATAATATTAAACTCCTAAAAAAAAATACTAATTTTGAAAAAACAAAAACATCTCCTATTATATCTTTTTTAGTAAACGAACAAAACTTAAGTTTTGTAAAACTTTGACTAAAACCGTATTTAACACTAAATTAAAAATGCTTTTTTTTATATTTAAAATAAAACATTTTTTTATCGTTACTTTATGTAAAAATAATATAAAGTTGAAAATATTTATTATCAATGTTATAAGGAAATTTAGAGGTTTACAGCTGTTATACCAGACTCCTGTTAAAGATTCTAAACCAAATCCGCAACATTAACAGAATTTAGAAAACCATTAAATTAGAATTTTACTCCATATAATATTGGAAGTGTCAACTGAGAAAATTTTAACTAAGCGCTGTTTATGTGCATGCGGTAAGGTTGTCTATAATTCTAAGTTAACCTTTATAAGTCTTTGAATCTCTCTATTATCATTATCTTATATAATACAATTATTAAATATAGTTATATTTAAAAACAGTTTGTATTTTTTTCATCTGTTTTCAAAGTTGCTAAAGTTTAACATTTTATTATTTTAGTTAATGAAACATGTTCTGGTTTGTAGGTGATATATTAAAACTGTATCTTAACAGGCTGTTTAGTTTTATAGAGGTTGACGATGACCTAATCTTAAATACACATAAGTTATATTCTTTTATTGTTTATTGGTCTTAAAAATTTTAATGTTGCATATTCAATCATGTTTTATATAAATTAATTTATTTAGTAGAGTGTTATTGTTTGGTGGTTTGTTAGAGTATATAATATCTTTATATATGTTATGTATATAATATTTGTAGAACTTTAAAAATGTTTTATTTTGTATTTTAAAAAATCAAAAAAGTAAAAAAAAGAAAAACAAATGTATAGTGGTAGGATTTGATCCACAGCGATGCACTTCAGAAACTCTGCTAGCTATAAAACCTTACATTTACAACTGATGAAGTTACAACATCATATTTACAAGAGTTTACAGCCGTTTCTATAAATTTATAAAAGAAACATTGATTTTCCAACTAAAATTTCTCTGTAAATAAGCTAAATTAAATAATATAAAAATACATCTATTTATTATTTAGTAGAAAGTATTTTTATTATATATAAGTATAATTTATTTTCTTCATTAAGTTATAAAAAGTCACTTGTTGCTGAATGGTGTAAACTCTAGTAAAAGTATCTCCCCACTCAAAGATGTACCGTTAACTAAATGAATTTGCTATTTTCTTCTGATATAATTTTGTTAAAAAACTGATTTACTTCTGTCTACAAACCTTTTCCTGTCTTTACATTTAAATAAAGACTTTAATCAATTTATTAAGTATGGTTCATCTTGTGTTTTAGATTCTGATGGAGAAATTTCTTCTTTATTAGGCATAGTTTGTAAATATTATGACATAAGCAAATTATGTATAATTTAGCTTTAACAAAATAAAAGCTCTCTCCTTTTTTTATCTAAACATATCATCGTTACAAAAGTTAGCATTATTCACTTTGAATAATACTAACTTTAATTACTTTTGATTATTTCCATTACTGATATAACTGAAAGAAAGGTAAAAAATGAAATATCCTCAATTCATTCTATTCTTATCGTAAATAAAACATCCAGCACACTCCGACGAAATTCTCTTGTGATGGTACATTGCTATGTTTATCGAAAAAACAAATATACAAACGAAGAGATTATTTAATGGTTTACACACCTGATTGTTTAAAATCACTATTGTTGAAATTCTAATATTGTTGTTGGTTGCATTTATAGACACCCTTGCATAGATATGATTGTTTTTAATAGTTTCATGTCCTACATCCAAAAATAACAGTTAAAAAGAAATCTATTTTCTTACTTGGTGATTATATTATCATTATAATACAATTAAATTTGTTTAATTTATTTTTTTTCAAACGTTTATTACTTAAACCACATTGATTTTAGATTAATTAAAATGTTTGACATTTATCATAATATTAACGCCTTTCCAAAGTTTGCTTAATATATATATATATATATATATATATTTATATATATAGTATATATATATATATATATATATATATATATATATATTATATATATATATATATATATATATATATATATATATATATATATGTTTATTGTAACAGTTAAATCTGGAAATATTTATGGTGACCAAGTTCTAAGTTTACTAAAAACCGTTTTAATGACAGGGTCAACTTATTATATAGTTAAAATTAATGAAAAACAAAACAATAAATTTACTACTGCACAAATAATAACTGTAAAAATAAATATTTTAAATTATTATTTTAAATTATGCTTGTTTAACTACCAGGCAAGTTAAGAATAATAAATTAAGGAATTGAGGATTATTTATTTAAAAATTTGATTATTTTAATTTATAAATTGTTTGATAATAAAAATTATAATAAAAAGGTTATCTTTTAAAATTAGTTTTTTTGTTTTATTTTAAAACAGCTACAACCACTTTAGATTATTTTTTATATATTTTTAAACTCCTCCTTTTTTAATTTTATATACATATCTGCAGACTTTTGAGTATTTAATTTATAAGAAAATATTAAATAATATACAAATTAAATATAAAAGTAATATTTTTTATATAAAATATTTGATCACCACTAAATTTCTTTGGACTTTTGTGATTTGCAATTGATTTTTAATATTACATTATGTGAAATGCTTTATTTTTCTAGTTTTATCTGATTATTCATAAAATGAATTTCAAAATTAAAGTTTAAATCATAATTTTTAAAAGATAACAAAAATAATAAAAATAAAAATAACTGTAACAAACAATTTTTCAATGAAATTTAATTAAGTATAAGTATAAATATAATTTATTGAATAACAGCTATTGAGGTTATTAATAAAAAATAAGTTTACAGTTTTTAAACAGCTAAAAACTTGAGGATTAAAAGCATTTCTAGATATTGCAATTTGAGATCACTTAATTAGAGCCCCGCTGATAATGCAAACATAGCTGACTCAAGAACACCATTTATATGAGGTGATAGCAAACACAAATAAGTACCTTATGATGCAAATTTGGAAATCTTTTACTTACTGCTCAGAAATTAATTTAATTTGAATATTCAAAGTACGTGAAATTTTACTTTATTGCAACCATAAAAACACTTGTAGAATAAGAACCACAACATATAAAGTGCTAAAAAGTAGAATAAGGCTACACCAAACTCTTGAGAAATTTCAGTTTGATTGGTGAACTCGTAAAGAATTTATGGCAGTTATTATTTATATTTTGTTAGTTAATTGATAGTTATACCTTTAAACATTACCAATTACTATCATATTTGGTCACTATATTCAAAATAATGGGTGTTCTATTATGTAATACCAACAATTTTTGTTTTAATTGTTTTATTGGTACAACAACCTTTTTCATTTTATAGACCAAACTATTGATATACTATTTAAAACAAATCATTTAAAAAATAATTTAATTATTTCCTTTAAAGGAAAAAATTGTGTAAGAATTAATCATTTTAAATATACGTAATTATTTCCTTGACTTTAAATGTTTATAATTAACAATATTTGTAGGGATGTTAATTTTATGCTCTGTTTAAAAATTGTTAAAGACAGCTTTCTTCTTTCTTAGCAAAAATTATTAAAGACAGCTTTCTTTGCAAATTAAATATGCCAATTAAACAAGACCAAGATTAAAATCAGTGATTTTCAGATACCACAATAACTCTGCAAATCGTATAAAACAATTTTAAGGAAAAGATAAGAAGGAAAAGAAGTTAAGCTCCCTCCTTTGTCTTGTTTCAATGCAATGCTATTGAGACCTAAAACTAGAGGCACAATGTGTTTTTGCTTAATCTGCCATAAGGGTTGTTCAAACCTTCAAGAAAAAACCTCTTCTTGAAGAGCAAACCACCATTGAGAAATAACAAAATGTACGTTGCACATGTCTCTGCCCTTTAGGCAATGGTTTGCTCCACCAATGCTCTCAAATAAAGTTCAGGAAAAACCTTCAATCTTTTGACAGGCCAAGGACACTAGATTTAAGAGACAAATTCTTATTGCAGTATAGAATATTTTCCAGAAACTCTCTTCAACAATGAATAAATTAGGTCACTGATTAATGCAAATGGTTTTAATTTAATTTTAGCTTGCGAGACTGAGTTGCAAATATAATCTGTGGTCATCAAACCTATTCAAGTATGCACTCTTGTGCACGGTGTATTGCTAAATCCAAAAGTCTTGCTATATCTGTAAATTTGTGTACTCTTGGCTCAATCAAATCTAGCCTTAAGTCTTTTAACAATATGCCAAGATTGTTGGTCGTGGAATGTTGTTTGGAATGTTGTTTGTGCAATGTCATTTAAAAGAAAATCAACAATAGCCCTAATAATATTTTGATTTTGAAATTGTTTAATCAATGAAATCTCTTCATAGGAGCTGTCAATCATTTTTTAAAGACAATTAAAACTGCTTGCATAAAAGCTGCTAAGTGGCCAGCTGCCCTCCACATTTAACTGAGCCCATATCATGGGGCCTGTTTGGCTAAAACGAATGCAGGAGGTTTCTTAAAAATGTGAATTTGCCTCAGCAACTTGTTAATGCAAATTTGGTTTTAAACATTTTCCCCATAATTGAAGCATTCAAAAGTTTTATTTTAGTTGTAAAATTTGCTTTGGATTTATTATTTATCTGGTTTTTGCTGAAAAAATTGAAAATTTTAAAAGATGTTTTCTTATGCCAACTGGTGCAAGCATAACACCCAAAATTCACACCGTCTTTTACCACATCAAAGATTTCATTAATCGCAAAAGTTTTTTTCAAAAGTTTCGATAGTTTGTTCACTGTAAAGCCCTTTGGGGTTTTACAGTAAACGACATATTGAAACTGCTCATCTAAACTTTTATAAACATTGGTAAAAGGTATATACAAAACAATAACCATTTAGAGTACAAAGAAAAATTGTTATGCTTAAAAAACTGCTCTGAACAGTAAGTATCTTTTAAGAACTGCTACCATAATTTGATTTATAAGATTAGACAGGAGAAATGAATAGCTTTTGGTTTTGGTGAACATTTTAACCTTTTTAATCCTTAACTGCTCATTAATTATGAATTTTAATATTACATCTGAAAATATTGAAGAGTATTTGACTAAAATTGTAAATCAAAGTTTTTTGAATAAATTTCTTATGTAGAAAATCAAAGACCATATCTTGCAATGTAATTATGTTGTGGTAAACTCTAAAATCAGTTAGTGACAACTATGCGGTTTATATAGTTATTTTTAAATTCATTTTGAAATGTGTTTAAGAAGTCAATGTGTTTAAAAAGGTTTCAAGGGCATTTAAAGTTTTTTTAACGAAAACAATTTTTTAATTTTATTTTACTAACTGATAGTTATTTTGTTTATTAGCAAAAAATATCGTTGCAATTTTTATAGGCGATCCCTAAGGAAAAAAAACAAACCTAATTATAAAGTCTCTCATAAACCATACGTATTCAGAAAAGGTGCGCATGTTAATATTTAAGTATAGAAATGGTCGGTTTGGTAAAGACTTACAAAGACCCATACAAAACCCAGTTTACCCGTCCAGTCATCTAATTAGGATTATTATGTCAAATAAATCGATAATAGATATAGTGTATTTATATACGCTTTTATATTTTTTGTGTTAAGCTCCGTGACAGGCTACTCTCTATTTTATACGTACTGTTTATGTTGCATAATCTGCAAGATGTTTGAATATGCAATCCTTAGTTTAATAAGCAGAATGATTAAAACCAAAAAAATAGATCAAAATGTTAATATACTTATGCATTTTCCATTTTTCCAAAATGTCTTTAAATTGCATCTACAAAAGTATGTTTCATCGTCTGATACATCCAAAATGCCCGTGCATATTTCATTTTTATCACAACCAGTTATTCGGCAATCTAAATTCAGAAAAAAAAAAAAAAAACAATTGCATATAAAAATGTATATTTTATAGAAATATATAATTTTAAATAATTATAGAAATATACACTAACAGAGAAACTTGATTATAGAAAAAGATTCACTCTCTAAATAAAAACACTAACAAGATTTATTTGATTTGAAAAACTTATTTTTAAATATAATCGCAAGTAACAAAATTGTTTATGCTTTCATATATTCGAGCGGTCTTTGGTTTAAACACATTTAAACTTCTTTGGTTTAAATGCTATTTATTTTTTATTCACCAGCCCAAGGCCGAGAAGGCCACTGTAGTAAAGGAGGCTACCTTTTTTTTATAGTTACAACCCATTCTCCACTCTTTAACTCCGAAACATGAACCTCGACAAACAAGACCGCTGCGTGGAGAAACAAGTTGAACGCCGTACTACCAGGGAGGTGGTGGGGATCGAACTCGAAACCTCTCGCTTATTAGGCAAGCGCTCTACCACTACACCACTAACGCAATTATTTTAATTTTAACTGAAAAACCAACTTAATTGACATTTAGACTCACTTTAGTAGTTTTGACCACTCAGCAAGTCGAATTTTTATCTAAAAAGGTATGTTTTTGAAAATTAAGATTTTGTTAGGTTATACTTATATCTGAATCTTGAAGTTAGTTGGTTTTTAAAAGGCATATTAATATATTTATATAACTCATAAAGATAGACACGATACATATCATAAAATTAAAACATATATTAAATAACTGGCAGGATAAAAAAGTAAACTCTGTGCTCCTTAGCTAGTTTTATATTGTTTGTGTTAAAATAAGAGGCTCTTTTAGGAATTAAAATAAGAGTGTAATTCCTAAAGGAGGCTTGCATTCAATCAAATATTGAATGTTTGGCAAAACGCAAATTTCAAACCATTTTTCAAACATTAGTATATCAAGCCAACCTGTTTTTGCGCAACTGTAGGCTGTTTGATTAAGCCCTTTAGCCATCCAATCTTTGTTAAAGTTTAATAACACCACATCATAGATGTTGAAGTTTTACAATGTTCTAGATCATTTTCTGCCATGTAAAGGTATTAGTAAGTCTATTCCACAGGAACCATTTCTAAACTTTTTCCTACATCAATATTTTTAGTAAGTGATTGAAAAATAATTACAGATTTATAGAAAAACTATACATAGTGTTTACCTTTGAAAGTTATGAAAAATAAAAATTGTAATATGATTAACTTTAAAAATTTTAAATGCTTTGATATATGTTGCATAAACCTCTACTTATTAGCAATTTGAATATTAGCACCCGTCTAAATAATACTTAAATCAGGGAACTATAATATTGAAGTAAATTTAAAAATATGTGAGTTAATATTAATTAATGACTTATCATAATCTGTTTAATATGGGTAATTACAAGTCTATTTCACATCAATCATTTTTAAACTTTTTCCTTATATAGTCATTTTATTTTTACAATTTTTGGTAAGTGGTAGAAAAGGAAAATATTCAAAACTTTCGTTTTGAGTTAACGATTAATGTATAATACTTTAAAAGTAAAGAAAAATATTGCAACACGCAATTTATATTATATCTTACTGGCAACATGTTAAAACGGACTCTGAAGCAGGGCCGTCCCGAAGAGGTCTTCCCTGGGGGGTGTATGTTTTTTTTTTGCTAACTAGAAACACCAAAAACAAAAAACAAAAAAAAAGGTCCTCAATATTTGCAATTTAGCAACTATAGTTCAAAACTTGCTCAATGTGCCAACTCAAATGACAGCTCTAGAGGGGTGGGACACTCCTAACACCCCATCCTTTAGGACGGCCCTGCTCTGAAGCTGTTGATTATTGCATGCAAAAATTCCAGCTAGTACCTGTTTTTGTTTTAAAAGAATTAATTTTTTTTCTTAATGTTAATTTGTGTTACTTTTTAATAGTTTTAATGTGTACTGTTTTCATAATTTTAATGTTTAATAGTGCCAAAACAGATACCACACATTTTGCGACTAACAAATAGGTATTGCAGGTGATGAAACTTGAAGAATAGATATCGCAGGTGTTGTGCCTTGCAAAAATGTTTTGCAAGTGATGAAACTTGCATAAAACTTTTGATAGTTGGCTCTGGCTTACTTTCACGTGGTGTCTATCATTAAAAATGATAATTATATAGTTTCATTACTGGAATTTTAACTTTTAATCACTAACTAAAAGCTATGACAAAACTAAGTAACTAAATACATCCTCTGTGTAGTTAAGAATTATTTCTTTTTAAATAAATTACTTCTTTATTTTAAAACAGTCATAATATTCAATTGTTATCAATTGCATAACACTACTTAGTAAGGTTGTGTGTTATTTTATGTTGTAGTATATAATAATACTTTGGTGGCGCAAATTAATTATAATTTTGATTTTCAAAATTTGTTTTAAAAATTTGGTTGGTAGGGAGCAATTACATTTTTCCATAAAAAAACAATTAACGCAGACAAATAGGTAGTTTTTAGCATGTTTTTAAAATCATTTTTTCACATTTTATAACAATAAAAATAATTTTAAAAATAAACCATTTATTTATTTTAGTTTAAGGGAACATTTATTTTTGGAAGTTAAGATGGCAGAGCAGCTTCCACTCTGGTTATACCAAAAAATATAAGGTATCATAATTGCATTTAAATTTTGTTCTGGAAACTTTTGCGCACAGTAAAAGCAATTTGAAAAATAAATTTCTTTGATTTAGGTCAAAGGTGGAGAAAGGAAGATAATACTCCCTCCCCTTCCCCTCTCTCTGCTCCTCTTCCTATATGTCAATCTATGCACCACTGGTATATGTTGTAATCTAGTAAAATATAAATTTATCTAGTTATAATTGTTATAGTAGTTTTAAGAAAAAAATATTTATAAGAATAATTTTTTTTTCTACTAGAAAAAAAAATAATTCTCATAAATATTTTATAAGAAATCACCACAACATCTACCCTAACTATATGGTACACCTCTAATGTTTCCTTTGAATGTAAAATGAAATAATAGCAACTTTTTGTACAAAAAATCTACCACTTCATTTAAATACACGCTTTTAAGGATAAAATTTGCATTTATTGGATAATAATGGCGGAAGTTTAGTGCCCCCTCTAACTCATACGAAACGCCTGTTGACTAATGACCTAAACACATAGTCCTATATCTTTTGATACCAAAATATAGTTTTTTAGATAAGTAGGGGAAGGTGGGACAACATGGCGAACGTTTTGAAAGCCTTTAGTTATAGCAAAATTAACAGTCGTGAAACAATAATACTTTCTCAGTATGTTTATGTTATTAAAATGATTCATTGCCTGCATGAATTTTCAGTTTGCAAACATAACAATTTGAAAAAAATATTAAAATAAAAAGCTCATAAATTTGTCATCTGGTCACGTGACCGGGGCAAGATACCAGTAACTCTAACTACCAGTAACTAAAGTAACACAAAATAAACACAAACCACAAAAATTTAATTAAACATATCCTTTTATAACGCGAAATTCGTATATTTTCCATAACGTGCATTAACTGCGTTAAGTATTAATGTTATTACAAAAACTGAAAGGTTTTTTTCAGTTGGTATTTAAAAAAGCACCATATCGTTATAAAATTAAAAAAGCGTGATTTTCAAACACGATGACGTTGTTACAAAGCATTTAAAAATTTGTTACACTCTTTTGATCTCAGATAGTTCACTCACTTCAAACACTAGTTATTTAAAAAACGGGCGTGTGCAAGATTAGCTATGTTTCATGGCCGACAATTACTTTTGTTTATCTCCAGACATCATGTCGGAGAACTTTATACAACTCTAGCCGTATCTTAATATGTTAAGCCGTAGAATAAACTATTTAAATCTTTGAATTAGAGCTCAGATAGTGTTAATGCAAAAATGAGACGGAGCTTTTACAAATTATAAGAATGTTAAGGACGCATTTGTGGTAAAGCAGGCTTTATCATGCCTCAAAATTTTCAGGGACCCGACAGACCATAAAATGTTAAAAAATAGGGCAAAGATGAAACTGTATTACTTTATAAACATTCATGCAATAACAAAACATAAAAGTTTTAAATTAAACTTTATAATTATATACGTTTTGACTATTGTGAAATACATATATTTTGACCTTGCAGAAAACATTAGACCATTAGGTAAAAATTAACATAATTGGAGCTATTTGACACGCCAAGTTTTTGGCATATCATTTTGCTACATGAAATTTTAACTAATAAAATCAAAAAAATGTCACTATATTTTTCTCTCCAAAGCATCGTGGTTTTGACCTGTGACTTTACTGCATTTTTTAAAGTAAAACTTTTATAATTTTTAATATTTTAGCTTTATTATTAAAGAATAATTTATATCATAAAAGTAACAAATTGTTTAAAACAAAAATTTTCAAAAAGTCAGATGTAAAAAATATTTAAAAAAAACTTGCAAGCCTTTTTTTCGACTGACCTGCTTTTCTTAAAACAAGGTAGATATATAATAAAAATAAAATTAGTAGAAATAGTACTTTTTTATAAATAGCAACTCCGAATTCAAAATCAACTTTGATAATTTTTTACCAGCGGGATTTTAAACATTATTATATTTACATTGCATGATTTTTAATTTACATTTTTAAGATCAACAAGACTATTGCCAGATATACCATTATATTGAATATAAGCCTGCTGCAGAGGTAAAATTTAAATCATGGTAAAACTATACGAAGTGTTTGGATCCATTAAATATAGTGCTGATTTTAACACCTTCTGACAGAGATCACAACATAATAATGGTAAAGGTTCTTTATTCAACCCAAAGGTCCAAAAATATGTAAAAACAAATAGAATCAAATCTTAAATCCTTATTTTTTAATAACTTTTTAATAACGATTTTAATAACAAGTATGGATAAAGAAATCAGGGGGATTATTTGATGTGTAAATGGGAGCATTTGACATTGCTGAGGTATTTGAACTTGTAAGAATTTTTT